CTGGCAGTCTCGACTCGTTATTTTACAGTTGGGTCCGGTCGTTGCCTACATAATTTCTAACCCTCTCTTTTTAAAAAAAAAAAAAAAAAAAAAAAAAAAAAAAGGTTCTGGGTTTCACATGGGTTCCTTGGGGGTGGTGGTCTTGGGTGTTCTGTTGATCTCCCCAGTCTGGCAAATCACACGTTTGGGCCATTTCCACTGGTCGTTCACACGGTACAGTCTTTCGATTATATGTTACAAGGTCATGGGTTCGAGCTTGGTTCGGACCTTGGGGGGGTCCCTGTCCAGCTTACCCTGTTCTCCCTCTTCAATATACAGAGTATACATAGCCTTCGGACATAACATAGAATTATACATCGCCTATGGGCTATATATACACACACATAGCCCATATACAAACGTTTCCACACATGATACACACATAGCCTTCGGACATAACACAGAACTATACATTGCCTACGGGCTACATACACACACATATATATAGCCTTCGGACATAACATAGAAATATACAGCGCCTATGGGCTACATACACAAGGCTGGGGGGGTCTAGTCACTGGATAAGTGTCTACAGAGAAGTTAATTTTTTTTGTCTACCTGATGTCCACTCGTGAAGCCCTGCACTCCCCACGAAGTTTTTTTGTGGAGAGGTCCGACAACCACCCTCCACAAACCGCCGTGCACAGGCGGGGACAATAAAAACACTCTCCACAACTTGTGCAGACGGTGTGGCAAGCCGCTGACACATTTTGCAGTCTCCAAGTTTGGCGAGTAAGTGCAACCAGCGCCTACTCGCCAAACTTGACGTGTGTGGAGTAGTGCAACTGGAACCCTACGGTAGTGCCTTTTGAAACTCACGTCATGGGTACAATTCATTAGTGTTTTCTTTTTTGCCTTTTGGAACTCAAAACCTTTTGTTGAAATTTTAAACAGGAACTCAAAAACCTGACACGTCCGCCGTTGTTTTCTTTTTTGGGGGGAGGGATTTTGCGACGAAACATCGTTATATTGCAAGGCCACTATCCCATCCCAGGGAGTGCGAAGGAATCCCTGGACTTGTGGTTTCGCGCTGGGAGATGGCACCGCTCTGTAGGTGGGGAGCTCCACCTGCTGGTGACCGGGTCCATCGGTCCCTTATGACACAATCACCACGAACCATAGAAATATGAAAAAAATAAGAAAAGGCGATGCAGATCCCATTCTCTCACTTCTCTACTGCTTTCTTCGTGACCTCATTCCCCCTCTGAGGCGAAGCCTCACGCGGATAAGTACACTTTCCTCTCGAGTCCATTCACATGTATTGCTTCCAGAATAGAAAAATTAATGCAAAAGAGTCTCACAGTAGGAGAAGCAATGACAGTATTCATACAAGTACCCAAGGTCCCAAGGGTGAACAATCGATGGCAGTAAGAACAGCATTTCCAGCAGAGTAGGAGGAGGAGGAGGAGGAGGAGGAGGACGAGGGGAAGTCGAGGACGAGGGGAACATGCGACGGGAGGAGAGGATCACGAGGCAAGGGAGAAAGAAGGAGGAGGAGGAGGAGGAGGAGGAGGAAGGGGAGGAAAGGATTGCCGAGGAGTAACATTGTCAGAAAGGAGTGCCGACTCGTTTGTGTGATACTACGCAGCCACGTACACAGCTTAGAAGGTCAACTATGAATTATTTTATATATGGTCACCCAGATGATGCAGTCTCTCTCACTCTCTCTACAGTAATTACTTTCCTTGTGATCTCATACTAGTACCTCTCCCCCTCAAACTCTCTGAGGCGGAGCCTCACCTCTTTGCTAACTTAAAGTCTGCTTTGAATCCTGAACTTGAGGACTGGCAAAGCCATCGGCATCGGCAGTGACGATTGCTCTTACCCAGGCGGGCATAGCCTAGAACATGAGCCTGCGCTCACTCCCCGACTGGGTGCGGATGAGAGCCACGTCAGCTTCGGTGACACACCGGCTGTCGAAGGCCACGTGTTGGCATTTGAACGCTCCCTGGCCGAAGGTGTATGGCTCGCAATAGAGTGCGTATCCGCCGGCGTCGCAGTTGCAGCATGCGTTGGGCCCGAAGAACGGGAAGCAGTCGCCGCCCACATACCCGACACAGCCCTCAGCCGGCTTGGCATTGAAAGCCAGCGCCAGCGTAGCAATAACCATCAAGATCACGACCTGCCGACCGTACGCCATTGTGACTCCTCCCTCTCCTTCACTGACAGGTGGTCGAAACGGAAACGATGTTGCCGGCTCTTCAAGAAACACTGAGTGCCCCCGATCGATTCACCGAAAACGTTTTGAGACCGATGAAAAAGCCAAACGCCCGCTGATCTGTAGTCCCTGCGCACAAATCAACCAATCCAAAGTATAACAAAGTTAGAAGAAGAAGAAGAAGAAGAAGAAGAAGAAGAAGAAGAAGAAGAAGAAGAAGAAGAAGAAGAGGAAGAACAAGAAGAACAACAACAGCAACGACAACGACAACAACAACGACGACGACGACGAAAGGCAGAAGAAGACTCAAGAAGAGAATAAGATCGAAATGCACAAGGAGAAAAACGAAGAGGAGCAAGAAGAGAAGGAGAACAAGGAAGAATACAGGAAAGGAAGAAGAAGAAGTATTGTAGACTAACTGATAGCGTAAGCTGGCGACAAAGCCTCCACACGAGACGATCATTCAAAAAGATGCTCCCATCAACTATAAAGAATGATACCAAATGTCAACACGTTGCTTTCACATTATGGTGGGTGCCTGTTGCCCTTTCGGAGCGTGTTCACAGTAGCACTTCACTGGCTGTATCTGTCCGCAATTACGAACAGTCCTGTATGAGTCTGACCGCAACTGCGTCCAAGGAGTAGTCGGAAAAGTCGTGTGTGAGAGCTCCCTCGGATATTCGATAGCAAGCTATGATGGTGACAGTCCTGGATGCTCAGTGACACACGTGCGACTATATGAAGTCGTCACACGTGCGCTCACAAATTCTTTGCACGTAGTTGAATGGCATTGCAGAATGCGCGTACGATGAAGGAAAGAGCAGGAAAAAAGAAAAACAGAAAAAAACGAGGGATGAACGAGCAAGCAACGAGCACAGTGACCTCCCAAGGTGCTATTTTTTGTCTTTTCTATGGTTCTCAGCATTGTGGACGACAGGGATAACAGAGAGTCATACGAAAAGACAATTTCATTTCTGAGCACACCCACTCCCACATTTGAGAGAATTCCATCCCGGTAGAGAGGGGAAGGGTGGGAGGGGGGGCGCGCGGGGAGGGTGGGAGAGGAAAAAAAAGGAAAAGAAGATGTCAGGAAATATCAAAGAGTGTGGGTGCGCCCTCAGGACATGCATGCAATACTAAACATGCACAGCAGATCCATGGGGGCACGCGCGCCGTGCAAAAACGTCACACACACACAC